ACAATTTTTCAGTTTCGAAGATCTCTATATTGAGATCTTGAGATTCTTGTTTTTCACTGCTGCAAAAATGATTTTGACTTGAAACTGATACAGGAGAATCTCGACCTTCAGGGTTTTTCAGAATAGTTTTCAGTTTTTCAAAATTCGAAGTTTTCATTTTGCAGGATCTTGACATTTTGAGGATTTCGAAATTTGGGATTTCGAAATTTGGGATCTCGATATTTTAGGATTTCGATGTTTGAGATTTCGACATTCTGAAAGATTTCGAGATTTTTGGAATTTCTTGATGTTTTGAATCTTTCAAAGTTTCCAGTTTCTTGAAACTCATAGTTTTTCGAAGCTTGGCATTCTTCGCAGTTAATCGAAGCTTTACATTTTAGGATTTTTGAATGATTCCATACTTATCAAAGTTTTTAGAAGTTTTCGATGTTCTGATGTTTTTCAAACAACACGTTTTCGATATTATGCGGTTTTCGAAACTCCAAAGTTTTCGATGTTCCAAACATTTTGAAGGTTTTGTTTTGCAGGTGGATTTCGTCATTATTCTTCGAGGCAACCTCGAGATTGTAATCTCGAGATTTGAACCTCGAGATTGTAATCTCGAAGTTTAAACATCGAGATTGTATTCTCGAGTTTATAACCTCGAGATTGTAATCTCGAGATTTAAACCTCGAGATAGTAATCTCGAGTTTTAAACATCGAGATTGTAATCTCGAGTTTTAAACCTCGAGATTGTAATCTCGAGATTTAAAACTCGAGATTGTAATCTCGGGATTTAAAACTCGAGATTAGGATTTCGAGGTACTGCCTTAGAATTTTCCTTAATCCCACCTGTTCTCGATATTCAACATCGAGAACCTCAACTTCGAAGAAATTCCTCAAAAACTCAAAATTCCGAGATTTTCTGCGACACCGCACTCAAAATTACCTCAAGATCGATTGTGATCTCGAGATTTAAACCTCGAGATTGTAATCTCGGGATTTAAAACTCGAGATTAGAATTTCGAGGTACTGCCTTAGAATTTTCCTTAATCCCACATGTTCTCGATATTCAACATCGAGAACCTCAACTTCGAAGAAATTCCTCAAAAACTCAAAATTTCGAGATTTTCTGCGACACCGCACTGTTTTGGCCATAACTTTTGACTCGATGATCCGATTTATACAAACTTTTTTTGTTGGAAAGCTAACAAAAAGATCTACATGAATTCTCGGGATTTACCCCAGAACCCTTTTTCACGTTCCCTCACGCGCAGTCCTTGAGGGCCAAATCATTCATTTTCCGACAAACTTTGTATATCACCGATGTCAAGGTCAAAACTTAGGCAAATCTGTTCAAATTCTTCCAAAGTCAAACCTAAGGTGAATGTTTTTCTAAACTACACTGTAGAGGTCCGAAAATCGTAGATAATTCAATCAACCTCGCGTTAACGGTCATCTTACAACAATCAAGAATCAACTACTGAAGCCTCCCCTAACTCATCAACATTGGGTGATCATCAATATGCTGAAATTCTAAATGATGAGCTTAGGGAAACCGTCATGTGTGGTACCTGTTCAGATTGCTCCACACACATGGCGGGTATGACAAGCTGTGAGCAATCAAACCTTGCACATTCTGAGGGGGAGTTTCAGTTTTCTCCTCCTGGCGCCTTACCGACAAAGCAAGGAATCTCTCAAAGGATGCAACATTTTAGGGGGAGTGTTCAATGTTATCCTCCCCGGTGCCTAACAATGACAAAGCATACTGAGTGCTCCAGATGAGGGGGAGTACAGAGAGAAAATCAAGAAAGTAATGAGAGAACATGTCCATATGTCTTAGTAAACCCAACTAAGCCTACCCAAGGGACAAAGCCGAGTGTAAGTGAGTGAGTGAGTGAGTGAGTGAACATTATGAGCATTAGGAAGCAGAAGGATCAAGTGAGCAAGGAAACAATAATCAATGATAAGTCTGCTACCTCAACTGCCTGCTATCAATTGAACATTTACTCCTAGCCACTCAAATACTCTGGACAATCCCCATAGGTTCAGGACTGATTTAATCAGATCCCGGGTAGAAGTCACTGCATCTTGTCCAACAGTGCATGATTAACCTTACCCAAGACCACTCACTTGTCTCCCAACAGACAAGTGTTTAATCATATTTCACGGGGAACCGCGTCTCTCATTACTGTTTCCTTTTGAGGCAAGTGATACTGACTACAGTGGCCTCAACCCCATGCCACTGGACTTTCATTGATCACGTCGTGTCTAGTAACATCACTCCCAAATGTTTTGAATCTTCTAGGACACAGACGCACTTTTTGAGTCAGTTGCAGGTCTAAATGAAACGCGTGAACTTCCATAGGGCTCATCTATTACAGATGTAGACCAATGATCGGAAGGAAGTCCTGCTGTTGCAACATAAGAATCACCAACATTTTCAGGCCATCGCTTCAGAGCTTATCTCTATAGTGATGATAACGGGCATCTACATGACCCCGGGGGGGCTACATTATCTTTGGTGACCTTTATGGTCATGCCATAACAACCAGATTGACATCTTTTCAGATGCTTCACAATGACTGGTTAGAAGTCCTGCTAGAGCTTAATAATGCTTCTATCATTATATACAGGCTACACATCGATGTTTACATTGATGTTGTGTTAATGGAACACATCAGTGTATCCGGTTTTTGCATTTCAACATTCTGCTTGTTTTTCCTGTTTTTTTTTCGTAGAATAAAAGAATAAAAGCATGACGTCCCGATTCATCGGATCGTCATGAGGGGGAGAGTGGTCCACATGCTGTTAAATGTCGACAAATCATTCTCAGACACTTCTCTCCTCCACCACAAAAAAAATTCAACGACTCTCTTCTATCTGCACACCTCAAATGGTCAGCTACGCTCACAAGTCAACCATTCTTTTCCGCTGTGCCACCGACAAGTTCTCCTCAAACGCATTCACTTCAAATAGTCAAGAAGACTACATTGTGGAGGAGACAGAGGTCAAATACTCATGTACTGAAGATGAATCCCGTGCGCGCCTCCTATTCTTCAAAGAATATTCATTCTAGAGGCATCACCGGACTTCATCCAAGCTGATCAAGAGCAACTTTTGGAAGGCAATGACTACATGCAAGATACTGAAGATCCCTCAACCCCCGGCATCAAAGAACAAATTGCCAAGAAGACATCAAAGGGGAGATTGCAAGGATTTCTTCAGAAAGCCTTCTCAAGAAGTCAAGTTCAAAGACAAAGGAAGCTGAATAACAACAAACACAAAGATATCAAATTCGAGGGAGAGCAGCGGCCATTATCACGATATACCAGATTCGTTGAATATCTCATATCTTTCTATCTGCTTCTTCTTCTTTATCTGCTATGATTGTGTGATTGTTAGTATATTGGGTCTATCATTTTTCCTTTCTGGTTTTCTTTTATTATTTCTCCTTTCTTTCTTCTCGATCTTTAAAAAGTAAAGGGGATTGTTATTAAATATTTTTTTTATTTGGAGAATCACACTTTTAGTATCTTAGTTATTATTTATATTGAATTTTAGTTTCCATTTATTTATCTTTTACTCCTAAATATCATCCCCAGTTTTTTGAATTCTTATAAATGTGATTTCCGTTGTTAAATTTGAACGAACACCGTTAATTTTTAAATTTATAACTTTGACACAGTTACATTTGGTAAAACATTATACACTTTTATACACATTTTCAAAATTATTTGCACCTAAAGTTTTTGTCTCTGTACTTAAGCCATACACACAAAAAATTGATCGCCAAAACATATTTTATTGGCAATAGTAGTCACGTACATACAAAAATACTTTGGACAATAAAATTTTATACGATTTGTTCACATTTTCAAAAAGCTTCATATTAAAAACTTTGTCAACAAAATTGTGCCATAGAAATAAATACATCGTTCAGAGAATTCCAATTTTACAGATAGTAATTGCCCGCCATAGACAAAAACCATTCGACCAAGTTTTTTTGTTGCTCTATCTTTATAAATAAAATTTAAGAGTACAATTTCTTGAAAAATTGATAAATAAAATACAGTTTTTTACCATCTATAATGTTTTTTTGTACCAGACATTTATTGTTCGTAATATCATACTTCTTCGATCAACATTATTTATCAGTAGTCTAAATCTATAGATTCATTTGATGTAAAAAAATTGAAAATTTGTAAGAAATACATTTTTTTGCCTTGGTCACAATTTTTTGTCTCTCCTAGAAATTTATTGTCTTTGAATTAGATTTTCCAATCGATAATTATTTTCTATAAAATTGAAAATTTTCAAGTGGCACTTTTTTTGGCTATAGCCTAAATTTAGAGACAAAAACTTTAGATGCAAATGATTTTAAAAATGTGCATAAAAGTGTATAATTTTTAACAAGTGTAATTGTGTCAAAGTTATAAAGTTAAAAAATTAATGGTGTTTTAACCAAAATATTAACGCTGTTCGTTCAAATTTAACAGCAAAAATCATATTTATAAAAATTCAAAATTGTGAAATTAAATCTCAACATGAACAATAATTTAGGGACCAAAAGTGTGATTCTCCAAATATAATATAATACTCCGTATTTAGTAACAACCCTTTTTTTCAAAGATTGAGAAAAAAGAAAGAAAGGATAAAATAAAAAAAAAATAAAAAAAAAACTAGTGGAATAGCTAATGGTGCAATAAGAGAAGATGAATACAAGAAAAGACAAAAAAAACTCTAAAAATATCAAAAACCTAGGTTGATTTCGGATCAGGGGACTTATAATATGATGTGTTTTAAACAATAAGTGCATCTGTGTGATCACTTTTTAGTAAGGGCATAGATGATGGTTTTACATGAAGTAATTGTTTTAGATAGGACTAAAACAAAGGAATTATTCCAAAATAGGATCATATGTGTTAAATTCCCAACATAGGAGTTCAGTTCCCAATTTACCCTTCTCTGTATCTAATATTCAAATTAAACCTCTAGTTCCGCATCTCATCCTCCATTCATTCAATTTTTTTTCTATGTCTTCTCTTCAATCCCATCACCCATCATCTCCCACTTTCCCTTTCTCAATCTTTCACTATCTTCTTCTATACCTCACGGGCCTCACATCTTCTCTCCATGTGTTTCCTTCTCCCTTCTTAATTAAATATTTACTTTCTTTTTCAAGTTAAAGGTTTAAACAATTTACCATTCCTGATAAATTTCAGAGGTGAATGCAAAAATGAAACCCCATCTCTCATCAATTCATCTACTAAATTTCTCGCCGGCCGTCGAATTTCAGGTATGTCTTCTTCTCATTCTTCTTTATTTCTCCTCCTTTCTTCTCCTCCTTCTTCAACCTCCGTTTTCTTCTTCTATTATGTTGAGGTTTATTCCTTACATGAAATTTTGGATCTTGTCATTTGGATATTAATTGGTGGTCTGAAAGTTTTAGACATATTTTTTATTTATTTCAATTAATTTGTTTTGAAAAATGAAAAAAAAATCTAGAATCTGAAAAATGTCAATTAAAAAATGAAATAATTTTTTTGGGATTTTTCTAGTAGAGAAGATGGCCATATCACTCCTAGAATACAACTTTAATGCCATGTTTTTCATTGGTATGGCACTAATGTAACAAAGATGACAATATTTTTCATATTGTGATACATTAATGCCATATTTTTTAATTACAAATGCCATATTATTTCTATCAGGATGACAATAATATCATTAACATGACACTACAAATCTAAGATGGCAATATACTAATAGTCATGCCAGATTCAAAATCAGATCTGAGATCTACATTGATGGGGTAGGTGGCGGTGGCAAAGGTCGCATCGTTCAGGAAGGCGAGGCATTGTGGTGTTGGATGAGGTGACGGTGAAGACGCCGGATATGGCGGCGGCGGCGATTGATGGCAAGACCAGACAAGGTCATAGATTGATCTTCCGGTGGCGCATGTGGTGGCGGAGGCGTCCATGTCGGCGACGGTTGTGGCAGTTGAGGCAGCGGCGGAAATCAATGGCCAGGGGGACTGTTACGGATCTTTGATATTTTGATTTTGTATTATTAATAAAAGAACATTATTTGTTCATTAAGGGTAATTATGTCAACCCCTCCTTTTTTACTCCTACGGAACATTAGAGTCCTATTCTTGCAATTAGAACACTTTTTACTCCCATTTGGGGAATTAACTTGGGGAAATTGCCCGAAGTAGGAGCTAAACAATAGGAAAGTTCATAAATAGGAGTCTTGTTCATTAATTCCCTAAATAGGAGTCTTTAACTGCCACTCTTTAGTTGCCCGTCTTTTAGATGCCAAAAATACCCCCACTTATATTAACTAACTCCAACCTGTTATACCGGTCATCTTCACCTTCTTTCTTTTGATCCGCCGGTATTCATCTTTTGGAATGTCGCTCGTGAGACTTTCTCACATCGTGTTCTTCGGATGATTCCGTGTTCTTCGTAATTTCTCTCGTTGTGAAGGAGTTTAGATTCTCTCTGTTCTTCATATATCATCCATGCTTTTAGAAGATGACCTTGAATCTTTTTTCCAGGTATTTACGTTTTGTTATCTAATTCCTTCAATTTCATATGAACTTTATATAAAGTTCATATTTGACCATTAACTCTTGCCTCTATTTCATTGATTATGTCTTTTTTATCACAAATTTTCTTTTTGCGATGCGATTTCTCAGGTTTAGCAACATGTGATTTTGTTATTTCTGTTACAATTTCAAATAACTTATTGAATTATTTTTGCTATACTATGCTTGTATTTTAGAATATAATTTTGTATTTGATTTCCATTTTTTGCTTCATCAATGATCTGAGCTACGTTTCTACTATATATGTAGTCTGTTGCTTTGTTATTCATGTAGTTAGTCTTTTTCATTATACAGTTTTATTTATGGACTATAATTTAACAATTGTTTGGTTTTTTCAGTACGATCATCATGATTTAGAATGACTCTTCTTTGTGCTTGATTCACTATTACTTCACATGTACTCTGCACCTACTTATTGCCATATATTTGTATTAAATGTCATAGTTTTTGTCCTAGCTGCCATCTTTCTAGTTTTATTTTTTGACCAGATTTTTAATGATATAGTGTTAATTAGGTGCTTACTTTTTTGTATCCATTAATTTACATTTTCATATTATTTTTTCAGATGGATCCTCCCTTATTGATTATGTTGAAATTGGATGATTTGTGGTCATTTGACTATACTTTCATGCACTCTCAAAGTTGTGGTATTCATGTTCCTCCAGATTCTAATTACATATCATTCATTGAAAATCTGCATGTTATCTTGCATCAGTTCAAGCCACACCAATTTTTTAGACTATCTTATATTGTGGATGGTTTCCCTCCCCCTGTTGGGATTCATAATGAGGAAACATTCCAATTTTATCTTAGTCTCAAGTTTATGCAATCTGATTTTCCAAAATATCCCCTGTGTGTAGAGTTCATCACTAATCAAACTGTTCAAGTTGATATTTCTTCACCATCTCATCATTTAGTTGATCATTCTAATTCTTCCCATGAATGTCCTTCTTCTTTGCCATTTAACCAGTCTGCTTCTTCACCTTTCAGTTTATCTAATGTTGATGATTCAGTCAATATTTCATCATCTAGTGATTCAGAGTGCTCTACTACTCCCTTTCATATCCCTCCTTCTTCCCTATCTAAACAATCCTCATCTCAAACACTATCCATTCACCATAAAATTGATGTACTCACCCATTATGATCCTAGTTGTATTCTTCTTGATGCCATTTATAAGAACAAGAGTGACCTTCTTTATCACCTTAAGATGTATGCTACTACAAATAGTTTCCAGTATGATACCCACACATAACCTAAGTCTTCTTTGCATGTTGTTTGTGTGGGTGAGAAGTGCAAATGGGTTGTTCGTAGTGTGAGGTTAAGTGATGTCGAAATGTTTCAGATTCGAAGGTATTCACAAAATTTGTGTATACATTTCTTTACCTTATTGCCATCATTTTATGTCATTGCCATATATTGATATGTCACTGACGTAGTTGTCCTAAACAATTTTCCCTTCAAACAGGGAAAACACCGGCAAGCTATATCAAATATCATTGCTGATATGGTTGCTCACAAGTACCTTGACGCATCACGGAAGCCATACACCCCCAAACAAATAAGACTTGAGATGGCTTTGGAATTCGGCATTTCTATGTCTTATCAGAAATTCTGGAAAGCACAAAAAGTGTCATGCAAAAGCAATTCGGTTCTGATGCAGACTCATACCAACTATTGCCTTCTATGCCACACATTCTTAAAGAATCAAATCTGGGCTCTACAATAAGTCTTATAAGAGGTGGCAATACCGAGTTTCAGTATTTTTTAATGTCACTTGGTGCATGGCTTGAAGCTTGGGAGTTCTGTAGACCTGTTTTGATTGTTGATGGCTCTTTCATTAAGGCCTATTATAAAGGTACACTGCTTACTGCTTGTGGACAGGATGCTAACAATCAAACTGTTCCCCTTAGCGTTTGGTATTTGTGACTCGGAAAACAAAGATTCTTGGTTATGGTTTTTATCCAAGTTGCGTGTGTTAGGAAATTGATGTAACGTATCTCGAAAGTACAGCAACGGAAGTTTAAAATTTTCCCAAACAGATCTTCCCTGATTATGACAAAACAACGAATATAACAATAATAACAAATCTGAGTTAGAACTTACAGATCTTCCAGTCTAGCGGTGATAATCGTTGACCTTTGGTATCCACGTGATTTCTCCTTTCCGAAAGAACGATTAGATCTCCCTAAGAGAAAGGGTAAGAAATCTCTCCACAAGGATATAAACTGGTAATACTGAATCTGAAAACTGGTCTACCAATTATGAAGGATAAGGATGTATTTATACTAGTTCTAAACTAGTTTTCCAATCACAATGAAAGTCTTTCTAATTAATGAGTTCTAGTCCTACATGGACCAATACTTATCATTAACAATTTTATTAATTAAATAAGTAAAACAAAATAAACTAATAATAATATCAAAGTGGCTGCACGTCACTTTTCTTGTTATTATTATTATTTATATCATTTTTTAATTTCTTTTAATTCTAAATTATAAAAGAAAATGCCAACTTTATTTAATTAAAATTACATCTTAATTAAGTATAATAAATCTAATTTATCAAACTTAATTAATTCTATCAAATAGAACTTTCCTTCAACATGATGAATTAACTATATTAATCTAATTGATAATTAACTCATCATATTTTCAGCATTACGGATTAAATATTATTTAATCCAATTAATAATATTTAATTCCTTCTAAATTCAATTGGAAGGTATAATCACATGTTGTGTGACTCATAGGGCCTTATATATTAAGCATTAATCAAATTAAGGTCTTAGTAGAATTCCTAGACAATTTACTAGACAAACTTAATATATAAGGACGTTCGCGAGGACTATTCAAACTCCCTGTAGTATAGAGCTCATAGTGATACAGTCCTTTCATTCAATGAACATTCAACTAAGTCTAGAACATGATATTGTGTCTATTCCAATAACTTAGTTTCTGTCTCTCAATCTTTCTAGATGATCCATAACGATCATATTCGATATCCAAAACGAATATATCTTTGCATTGGCCAATGACTTTATGATCCATCTAGATATGAGAAGTAGAATGTTCTCTCTTAATCTATTATGAGGAATGAATCCTTTCTTGGCTCAATTACTACTCCATGTGCTTCGTGATGCACCCAACACATGTCGTATCTACCCCGATTGGAGTGCAAGCGTTGGTCATGGTCAAAGTACATCACTCCGCACATGTAGTACGTATTGACCTCAAGTCGGAGGACTATTACACTACTCTATACGCCGATAATCCCATAGACACGTGAATAGAACTTATCAAATGGTTTCTCGGTGGGTACGCCAATATTCTCTAAAATATCTATGTGACCATCATGAATTATAGGAGCTCATATTTGTGAGATCAACTATACTTTCTAAAAGTATGATGCAGTCAACATACCAATCATATCGCATATCATCAATATCACATTCTTAATGATCATAGATTGGGGCTATTTTAGGACATTATGTTATATCATATAAGCTCCCACTTACTTATTGACAATATAAGTCCAAGGGAACACAATTATGAATAAGATATTGACAATCGAAATACTTAATCATCAATGTGTAATACCGTATATATCAAATATATAAAACTAAATGTGATCAAGTACATATATCTCTAAAAAGTGATTGTCGCTAGGACATATATACTAACAAT